TCTAAGAGACGCCCACTGCGACGGCAGTCGAGCTCGCGCGCGAGCGTGGCGTTGAGGGCCTCCTGCCGCCCTCGCAATCCGTGCCAGACCTCCGCGAAGGGCGCTGACACGGACGCTGACACGGACGACGACGACGGGGAAAGGGAACGGGAACGGGAAGGGGAAAGGGGCGTGGAAGGGGAGGCAGGGGGGTCGATTGCGCCTTTGGACGGCCCCGTGGCAGGGGGGTGGGCGTCGCCCGATCCCACGGCGACGGCAGGGAGGCCGAGGGTGGCTTTGTAGAGCGCCCCCAGCCAGGTTTGCCGGAGATCACTCAGGAGATCCGCCTGCTGGCAAGGGAGCCAATCGCAGGTGAAGCAGATCGGATTCGGAATGAACCCCCTCCCCGCAGGCGACGAGGCGGACGCAGAAGACGGAGGAGGCGGGGGGGGGTTCGTGCCCCTTCGAGAATCCATTGGATTCCGCGCCAAACGCGTAAGAAGCCGCCGTTCGGGAGCCGTGCCCGGACCGGGAGGTGGGTTTTCAGGAAGAGGGGGGGGATCCCGCGTGTGCTCGCGGAGCCGTGGGGAATGCCACCGCACCTCGACTTCAGCATTTCCCTCCGGATCCTCGCCTTCCCGGGTGAGGGGGCGCCGTTTCGCGCGTAGGGCGATCTCGCGCGGGGAACGCCCCACCTCCCCTCGTGCGAGATTGCCAGGCAAGAGGCGTGAAGGGGCGGCCCTGCGCTCCGTTTCGTCCACCTCCATCTCGACGTCAAGGACCTCATCGGGGATGGCGGAAAGCACCTCCACCGGGATCCACCGTCGACAGCGTGTGCACTCGAGAAAAAGACTCTGAAGGACGGTCGGAAAGCGATGCCGAAGACGATAAAGCGCGTCGGGTAGGGGGATGTAGCGGGGAACGCGGCGAACGCGATGGGTGCTGTCGTGGCTCCCACTCAAAGCGCTTTCCGCCACCTTCCCCGCGCCGCGTGGATGACGACGGGAAAGGGTGCTTACACCGTCGTACGACATACAACGAGGGACTGCTATTGGTTCCTTCTATCCTCCCCCCCTCCCGATGACGTTTTCCTCTCTTTTATTTCCTTTTTTTGCTCGCTTCCTATGTTGAAGCCTAAAATTTGAATGTACACACACACTAATGGGAAAGAATTTGAGATAATAGTCGAATGTTGGTATAATAATTATACAGCCATACACACGAATAGACTCCTTGATATACCTTTTTACCAGTTGTTAAGCAATGAATAACATGGTGTTTTTCCTCTAGAAATCTTTATATTACCAGTTTCGATTTCCCATTGTGTTCCTTAACTCTGACACCTTGAGATTTAAATAGCTTATCGCTGTAGAGGATTCTTCAAAAGAGCAAAAAATGCAATCCTGTTTCGTAAATACCTCATAAAGAAAGAGCATGATCACTACCAAGCGTCAAGTTTCGTAATATGAATATACAATCATATGTATATATATATATATATATATTTATTTATGTATACCAATCGTGCTGCGGCAAAAATGATATACGAAGCTATACCTTCGCTTTTACACCCTTATACACAGAAAATATACATACTAGCCCAATTAATTTAGTACCACGACTACAGAAAACAGTAAAAAAATTCCTTTAGAGTACAGTAGGCTTTCCCTGCCATATTTCACCTTAAAGTGCCAAGGAATCGTGGTTTAATTCATTAGCGCAAAGGTTCCATTTGACAATTTACATATGTCATACAAAGTGATACATAATATAAGTCGCACGACCTTCCATTTTTTGTTGATTATTTACTTAGAAAGAAATTAAATAATATCCAAAACTTCTCGAGGAGTCGGAGAACGACACAGGTGTTAGAAAAGAAAAAATACGAAGGATAGGGACTAATTCAAACTAATACACGAACCAACCGATGTAAATTGCGAAAAAAAAAGGTACGCACACTAATGCGCATGCTCTATACATACACTTGTCGTTGCATAGAAACTAGAGGGCAAGGAAGGAACTAGTGTAAGTGCGCCACTCTCCTACCAGTTGTCTAATTCCATTTTTTCTGGATCCAGCGGCGCTATGCGGAATTGGCTGAAGATGGCATTGATGCTCTGCACTAAGCGAGTGTAAGCCATGTTGAGATCATCGTTGACGACAACCGCCGAAAAAAGGTCTGGGTTCGCCTCCAAGAAATCCAGCTCAAACTTGGCCGTTTCCAATCGCCGCTGCCGCAGCGCTTCCGACTCCGTTCCGCGCAACAGCAAACGGTCTCGAAGCACCTCCATTGGGGCCGTCAAAAAGAGATATCTCGCAGTGATACTGCCGTCTTGCTCGCGAGCGTGCAGCTTCATTGCACCTTTCACGTCGATCTCAATGATGCAGACTTTCCCATCTTTACGAGCCGCCTGCACGGCGGCGATGCTCGTGCCGTAGAAGTTCCCGTGAACCTCGCACATCTCGAGAAATTCACCACGTCTCTCCATCTCTTTCATCACTTCCACGGGAACGAAGTGGTAGTGGCGACCGTCAACTTCACCTTCGCGGATGCCGCGCGTTGTGTGCGAGATCGAGAACGCAAAGCGATCTTTGTAATCACTGAGCAGGCGATTTAGCAAGGTCCCTTTGCCAACTCCGGAAGGTCCACAAAGGACGATGGCATCCAAGAATTTATTACTTTCTACTGTTCCCATTTTTTTCGTCTAATTCACTGCGTCCTCGTTTGTGCCCCCCGAGAAAACAACAAAGGAAATTTAGGAATAACAGTCGCAAGATTGCTATTGAACTTTAAATTTGTTGGAAAAACTCAATAAACCTTAAAAAAAACAAAATATTTTTCTTTTCATAAAGAAGATGTGGAGGGAGTAGAGATTCGGAAAAAGTAGGAATAATTCAGCTCCATGAAAATGACGAGAATCAGCAGAAAGTAATCATCGTAGAGGAAAAAAGGTGACTAGTGGAAACTTATTCAGGTGATCCTGACTTAAGGTCTGCATCAAATTTACTTCATTAGAGTCTTCGCCCGTGAAATTGGTTCAGGGAGATTCCTACCCTCTTTCTTCCCTTGAGCAACCCTCACTGGGAATAAAGCCCCATGCACGCCTCGTGCAGCGTATTCAGATCCACCTGCACGTTGTGTGCGGCGTTTGTCACCCGTGTTATAACGTGCTCCAACTTGCTAAGCAGCTCCGCCTGCTCACCGAGGAGGTTCTGCAGCGTTCCTGAAAGCGCACGAACCGCCTTTTCGGGGCGCCGCGCCGCGTGCACTGCAATTGCGAGCTCAAAGGGAAGTGCCCACGGCGGCGGCGCGTTCGTCCTCAGCGTGCGGAGGTAACTTCCAGGGATCTCCATATTCCCCCTTTTTACCATCGCTTTATCTCCCTTTTCATCCTCATCCTCCCCCTTTTTTACGCCGATTTCATTCGCCTCCACCCACCCCACGCGCACGCGTAGAGGATTTTCGTTTTCATCTCCATCCTTTTCTCCCATCGCGTTGTACACGTATCGAATAAAGTACTCGCGGAGCTCGTGGATCGTCGGGTCGTCGGCTTTCGTCAAGACCTCCCGCCAGAAGCGCAGCACCGGCAGCGTCGGATGCCATATCCGCACCATATCCTGTCGCTCCGTGATCAGTGCCGTCTCGAGAACCGACCGCACCCCATCGCGCAGTTCGCCCGCCGCTGCCGCTAAAGAAGAAGGAACCGAGGGAGGTTCTCGATCCCCGCCTCGGCCTTCGACCCCTCCGTGTGCACCACTGCCAAGGGCGTCCGCGACGCGGATATCGTACGCGGAATCGCCGGCGAACCCCATGAGGATCGGCGCGCGCGGGGGAGGGGCGCGGCCGAGCGACCGCGCATACAGCTGCCTCGCCGCCCCTTCGTGCCCCCCACGGCGGTGCAGGAAGACGTGTTGCCGCAGCACCACCGGCGGGAGGCCGAGGGCTGGGTGAAAACACAACACCACCTCCAGCGGGTGCTCCGCCCAGGAGTCGTCCACCACGCAATAGGGCGGGGCGTACCGCACCCGACGCGGCCGTGGGAAGCTGTCCGGCAGGACAAACACCACGTGGTGCAGCATCGCGTACAAGAGGGACGGACTCCGCCCGCTGTGCGTGTCACAAGGAGAGGGGGGGGGGGGCTGGAAAAAAGTGGGGCGCGGTCGGGTTTGAACCCTTTCCGCGGAGGGGGGGCGGTGGAGGTGGAGGGGGAAGGGGAGGGGGAGCCCGTGCCGGGCCTGGAGCGGGGCCCTTCCCGTCCCCCGTGGTCCTCCCGCTCGCGAGAAGGGGGGGCATCGTCGTCGTCGTTCCCAGGGTCCGCTCGGGCGTCCTCGGCGAGGGTGTGATGCAGCCAACGGTAGAAGGCATCCTCGGCGAGGTCGCTCCCATCCCGCACGTAGCAGTAACGACGATGGGTAAAACGAGTGGCGACGATCGGGCCTTTGGCGGAGGGATTCGTCCGTCCTTTGGGTTTGGTGGGTTTGCCCGGGGGAGGAGGGGCCGTTGTGGGGGCCTCGGGGGACCCTATTGGGGGCGGGTGGAGAGGGATCGCCACGGTCCCCACGCAGACCGGAAACTGAAGCGAGCCGCTATACAGCACGGGGAGTTGATCGACGTCTTGATTTGCCGCGACGGGGATGGATGCGGACATCGACGACGAGGTGCTCATTTCATCTAAAATGGGAAGAATGAGAATACGAAAGGAGGGAAAACCACAACACGGCAAAGGTAAACCGTGAAAACTCTCCTTCTCGTTTTACTATACAAACACACACGCAAGATGTGTATTCTTAAAGCTGGTTGCTTTACCCTTGCGTCTTTCCACCACCTGTACCTTAGTTATAAGACTGACTTAACGGTAAAGAAAGGAGAAGAGTACCCCCCTCTAAAAAAAAAAAAGAAGAAGAATCGAAGAGAATCTCATTTCGAACACCATCCGAACTCCTTGAAAACCAGTATGACACTGGGTTTCATGTTCATCTAATTCCTCCTACGCAACATTTCACCAAACCCATCGCTATAACCCGTGTTTGCTATCAAACACAGTAGGTGCTATACAGCTTTTCCACAAAAGCAACATACGCATCCTGATCTTGTCGATTTCCAACCGCCATGCAGGAATGACGAGAGTGCTTTAACGTTAAGACCTCCACGGCGGGAATCGGATACGGTACCAGCTTCTCGCGAAGCTGATGAATCAGCGTTTGTGTGCAGCAGTTCGGAACGCGAGAATCGCGCGTTGAGATGACGAACGCGATCGGGCAGCGAAGATGCACCCGCTTTGGATCGTACGTGTAGGCAGTAGCTTCGCTTTCCTCCCCACGGAAATCACAGAAGGAGTTAAAAAACCACCTCGCCAGCGATGGAAACCACGAAGAGGAGCGAATGACATGCTCCAGTGTGTCGAAAGGCGCTTCCAGGATGATCAGCGAGACGTACGCCGCTAAATGCGGGGGAAGTTTCATAGACGTGTAAAAGCACGTCGTCGCGCCTCGACTGCAGCCAAAAAGCACCAAATGCGTTCGGAGGCCACGCGAAAGAAGAAACGAACGGCCGGCATCCTCTTCTCGCGATAATGAAGCGGTAGAATTGAGTGGGGTTGTTGATTGCCCCTCGTCCGACAGACTTTTCGGTCGCATCTCGCTAACCTCGACGTTCCTCCCACAGTGGGTTTGCGATATTCGCACTTCCCCTTCGAGCAAACGCACCGCCCGCTTCACTTCTCTCAAAAACCCTCGCTGATCGGTGAGCCCCCCGAGGTTGGTTCGTCCAAACTCCGAGTAATACACCCCCAACGGGCGAGTGCGAAAATACCAAGAGATGAGCACCGCTTTCAGAATCAATATCCAATAAAAAGGATTCCACAGAGGCCCCCAACGCGACCACACAGATGTCTCTGACGTAGAGGAGAACGGACGACAATGCATCACCTCCGCCACCTCCGGCGAGGGGAGGACGTTATGCAGCAGACGCACCCCCACACGCGAGGTGGCGTGATAACACACCGGGGGATTTGAAATCGGAATCGCATCCTCATCACTTTCATCTAATAAATCATCCACCTTGTCTTCGTTTGCCTCTTTGTTCATGTTTTCGTCTTCGACGGAGGCTGGATCTTTCCAAAGCGCGCGCAGTGCGTTGCGAAGGATTCGGAACGGGGAGGTCTGATGATGTCGGTTTCGATATCGATTCGCGTGTGGGGTGGGGTTGTGAAATTCCTTTTCTAAGATGGTAACACCATCTTCGGGGGCGGTATAGCGGGCGATTTGAGAGCGGCTGGAGGTGTTTCCCGGCATCGCGACGGTGAGAATATTCGACCGGCGCGGTGGATTGCGATCGTAAGGCACCCCACACATAAACAGGGCGCTCAATCGATTCCAAACCCCACGATTTGGATTCACCTCCGTCTTTTCTTCCCTTTTGCGTTTAAGGGAAAGCTTGTGATACATGTCGATCGATTTGCATCAAATGCAAAACATCATGTGTAACTTTTCCCTATGGATGAGTTTCTCTTTTTTTTTTTTTTTGTGTGTGTGTGTAGATGTGCAGGGAGAGAGGAAGCTTGCTAGGCCAGAGGTTATTGCAAGCAAAGGTTCACCACATATACCCATATGCAGAATGAAAATAACGCGTGAGGCATGGAATTTTAGTCAAAATCACACACCACAAATCCGTGAAAGTGGTGTTAAGGTAATATTCTCAGCCAATAGGGGAGGGGGGAGGGCGGAGCAGGGGTTGGCGATGAACTCCTCCCTCCCTTTCTCTACGTGATACCCGCTTTTCGCGAATTTCTTTGATCCGAAACGACGCCTTTTTCTTTTTTCGCGCTCCCCTGCTCAATAAATCTCCTCAAAGTCATCCAAGGCGGATAACGCGGTCTGGATTTTATGCCGCTCGAGCTGATCGTCGCGTGCCGCGGCGTCGAGGCGATCCCCCCTCCCTTCCCGTCCCCGCTCCCCCCCCTCGTCGTCGTGGTCGTCCTCGTCGGATTCCTCGCTGATCGCGAACGCGGCGGTGTCCGTCACGCCGGCCGCGTCGCCCGTTCGGAACGCCTCAAATCCGCCGTCCTCCGCTCGTCCGTCGCGTTCCCAGCCGAGTTCGATTACATCCCGCCCCTCGCTCGCGCCGATGCCGATCACCTC